AGGGAAAAAAATTTATGATGAGAGTGGTTAAATCCTGGAGGAGTTGTGAGATCTTTTCCTTGGAGGAGTTCAAGACTCAACTGGACATGGCCTTGAGTCAAATGATCTATTTAGGCCTTTGTTGAACAGGGGGTTGGACTAGTTGACATTTAGAGTTCCTCCATTTCAACCTAAATTATGATTCTGTGATTCTTTTACAACAGGTTTTTGTGCTTGGCATGAACTGCAGTGGGTGTTTGGGAACGGGTGACATGCAGAGCACTATTGAACCAAGGAGGTTAGATTCTCTATGCGGCAAAAAGATAGCCTGTCTGAGTTATGGAAGTGGCCCTCATGTTGTTCTTGCTACAGAAGGTAAAGTATGATCTGAATGTTGCTTTTTCAGATACGTCCACATTCATTAGTCCAGCAGGTGTGAAAGGTCTGTGCTGGTAACGCAAGAGAGGAACTGGGACAGACATTCTGGGCTATCAAGTCCAACATATTTTCATTGGTGAACATGACATGTCAGCTAGCTCTGTTCACAGCTAGTTCTTTTCAAAGTTTTTCAAGCTCTGCTTTGATCTTGTTACTATTTTTGGAAGTTTTTTTTTTTTTACTTTGCAGTAAAGTTTGGAACTTCGAATTGCTTTTGAACTGCATTAGTGGCTACTTTACGCCCATATGTTCTTGTGCCAACATTGTCCTTTACCTAAAATGCATCTTTTTCCCTCCTGTACCTACTCTTGAATATGCTTTAAAGACCAGTTATATTGCCTCTCAGCCTTTTGTTTTCTGTTGTCTCATTGACCCTCTATTATCCACATCATGCTAGTGGCCCTTCTGTTCATAATCAAGTACATTATTCTCGAAGACAGATGACTAATATCGTGTTCCCAGTGAGGTTCTGTTAGAGTCTGACTGATGATGTTAAGGTTTGTCTCTCTCTCCATTAAAGAGAAGCAATCTTTTTGAGTAGTCTAGATTAGATGACTAAAGGTAGGTGAGGGGAATTGTGTTGTAAATGTGTGACTGTTCTTTCTATTCAGTTACATTCCACCATTTTCTCCAGTCTTCAGGATAAACCATTCTGGATGCTTTTTCTATATGTATCTGTATTCTTCTGAGCTTTGTTGCTGGCAGATCTCACTGACACACTCATTCTCCTTACCCAGATGATGAACTGAAGTACTGCAAAAGAACAGGTCCAGAACTGATCCTTGATGATTTTTACTCATAACTCCATTTGCATGAATAATTTCCATTCAGTACAGCCCCTTTTAAACTACCATTCAGAAAGCCCTTACATATTTCACAATTCTTTTGTTAATTACTATCATTTCCAGTTTACGTTGTATGTTTCTAAATGGCTGTTTCACCTGTTTACTGAAATTTGTATTCTCATGTTGGTGAAAGGAAGAGAAAGTTGTTTGCTTTTGACAGGATAAAGTCATTAGATTTAACCTGTTATTGTAGAGAACTATTGGTTTAGTGTAGCACATTCTGACTTTGTAGTTCTGAGGAAACCCTTCTCAGGGATAAGGAGTTTGGTGATCTCTTTAGAAATCTGATGGAGTTGCATGTCAAACCTAGCTCTCCTGCAATAACAGTGTGATTTAAGTTTAGAAAATGATGATGATGATAGACAAGATGAATGTAGGACAGCTGTTTTTCAAGTCCTGCACTACTGTAACTAGAGGACACTTGATTTAAAACAGATGAAACAAAGTGAGTACAAAAATATGTTAGCTTCATGGATAATGGGCCAATATATGTATATTAAAGAGAATCAGAAGTACCTGGCAGTGTCTGTACTGTAGTGATTGTAAATGCTTGGGAACTGCAAAAAGTGACCAGGCTGGTGTTTCCCTTAAAGAGCACCTTTTTTCTGTTGTCAGTTGGAGACAGAATTTTGCACTAGGTGGACCATCAGCCTAACCCAGTCAGACATTTCTTGCATTTCTAATTTTACTAGCATGTTTCTCAAAATACAGGACATGAATAGTGTATTAAATAATAAGTAAATATGTTTATTAATAAGCAATAATAAGTTTTTCTTACAAGCATCTTCATGTACGTTGTAAAGGAATGAAAGCTTGTTATTTGAATTTTCCAAAGTGGGAAACAGTGCCAAGGCATAGACAAGAAATTTTGATTGATTGTCAGTAACAACGAAATTGAAAAGGGGTCTCCTGACTGTCATTTCATCCTTCTCTCTTCTGTATTGCGCTATGTCCTTTCTTTTAGCTATATGATTTCCTTTACTAAGATTATGGCGATACTATCCTTTTGGATTTGTGGTCAACACTATGTGAAGGTAGCATTGGTATGTCCATGGGCTTAAGAGCCCCAAAAGGCAGATGTATATACACACACACACGTATACACACACACACACTTAAATATGTATATTGTTATTGAATTTGACTTTACAGTTTGTAATTTTATGTTGTGTACTTATTGGAAAAATAGAGATTTTAAACCAGCTTTTTACATTTTTATTATAGAAGGAGAAGTGTATACATGGGGTCATAATGCTTATAGTCAGTTGGGCAATGGTACAACAAATCATGGTTTCGTTCCCTGTCAAGTCTCTACTAACTTGGTGAACAAGAAAGTCATTGAAGTTGCCTGTGGCTCTCATCATTCTATGGTGTTAACATCTGATGGAGAGGTGAGAATAGCTGGAATAAATCTCTCTTTTCTCTTAATGAAATTCACATATGTGAGAAACAGGAAAACATTCTGCACCTAGAGCATTAGACCTTGTTTCTTGCTATCCTCACAGTGCTGATGCAATGCAAATGTTTGATAAAAATGGAAGACCTCTTAGGGTCTAGCTGCTTTGAAGTGCGTGCAGAACATCAACTTCTGTGCCACATCTGCTTGTAATAAGAAATTATAGTTTCTTTGTAGACGGCAGCCAGTTCCTTCCTATGCTATGCTCTACTGTAAATGCTTAACAGTGTTAAAGCTGACATTAATATAAATCATGTTCATGTAAGGAGTTCTACCCACCAAAGTAAAAAGTTTTCTGTCACTTACTTTGAGGTGCCATTTGTGTCCAGTTAGCCATTCTACTTTGGGTTCTGGAAAACTAGCAATGGATTCTTCCAGCATTAATGCAGCTGTCATGTTGCCTCTTACCTTTGATTGGCGGTGTATAAAAGAATGGAATATATAAATATTATAAGTGGCATAATTTTGATAGAAACAGTTAAATTGTAAACCTATGTATCTGCCTAGATCTTTAAAAGAATACATCCACTTGAACTCAAAATGTAATTTTTTATGCGTATAACTTTTTTTCTCTCTTGAATATGTACTTTGAACTGTATGTTATATAGCCTTCTTTTATGACAATTCTCTTACAACAGGTATACACATGGGGTTATAATAACTCAGGCCAAGTTGGATCTGGTTCAACAGCTAATCAACCAATTCCTCGAAGAGTTACCAGCTGCCTACAAAATAAAATAGTGGTTAATATAGCTTGTGGACAGATGTGCTCTATGGCTGTGGTTGAAAATGGAGAGGTAAGAAACTTCAAGTGAATTTTCTGACTGAATTTTATTTTATGTAGTATCAAGGGATGTAGATCATTTCAAACCTGTCAGTAATGAGCTACTACTCAGAAAACAAGCATACCTTTCCAGACTCCCTCAAATCTACCTGCTTATACTGCTTATAAAAACCTTTGTCATAAATTGTCCTGCACATTCTGACATACTTAAGCACAGCTTCCTATCCATGCTGATTATGGTTTCTTCTTTAGAAAGGAGGTAGAGTGAAACAGGGAAAATGTGTTAACTAACATTTGTTTTATGGCTTTTTGGTTTATGAGATTACTCATAAATTTTAGCAGCTATTACTCTATATCAACTATTGAAGTTGGCTTTGAATTGAAGGAATTCAAGTATCAAATTTCAAATTTACTTGAAAATACAGTTCTGAAGTAAAAAGAGCATTGTGAAAGTCAGGAGATTTTTACAAATTTTGGGATTAAATCATATCAAATCTATATATGTATACTTAGCATTTCATGCTAGCTTCATTTTTCTCTGTGTAAAAATAACTAAGTTTGCGTCACTGATTTACTGATTTTTAAAGCTGGTATTATATTCTAGCAAAAATGAAGGCACTGATTAATACATTATTCCACTGCTGTCTTTAGCAGTCATAGAAAAATGAATTATTGTCTATACTAGAGTCTTAAGTATCAAGAATGTGAGAATAATCAGTGAATGCTATTTTAATTTTCAGTGTTCATATATGCACACTTCATCTCAAGAGGAAACAGAGAAAATAAAAATATATACATTGCATATATTTGCTCTACTGCAGTACCCCTTGAATCCCTCATTTTTTTTTATCCTCATGGCAAAGATACAAAGAGGTTGTAGTGTTCTTGTTGTTTTAGTCATATGAGCTGAAGATTTTGGGCAGCCTACATCCTCTCTAGCTCCATCGTTCCAAGTATTTCAGTTTAGACCTAAGTAGCTATTGACTGTTTGCAGCAGAACACGTCACTGAAATTATCAGAGCTCAGTATTTTCTCTTTTTCTTATGTTCAGCATAAAGCTGTTAACAGCCTACTCAAACCGTTGTGCATAGCTTTCAGTTTATACTTGTAGTGTGTTTTCTTTCCTGTTAGAGGATTTTTTGAATGAGAAATTAGCTCTTTGAAAAGGGGAAGTATTCATGCTGAATTTGCTCTGTGCTGGGAAACAGCCATATGAATTGCTTATTTTCTACTCTTCATATTATAATATTGTAGTCTTACATAATCTAACTCTTAAAGAGCAACATGAATATGGAGGTTTGGAATTTTAGATGAGCATGCAGTTGGTATTTTAAACAGAAGCAGCATCCAAAATTTCTGGTACAGAAAAACATATACATGTGTGTATAGATATGTGTATGTATGTATGTTTATATAGGTATGTATGCATGTGTGTGTGTTTGTGTGTATCTACAAATAAAGTACAGATCCTAAGGTGTGGGGACAGGAAATATTGAAGAAAACTATTATTGTAACTCTGAAGTAGTTACATTGCTTTCAAAAGAAGTAGATAGTAGCAAACAGTTAAAATCCCTGTCTCTGGTTTTAAGGTCTATGTCTGGGGCTACAATGGTAATGGCCAGCTTGGACTGGGCAGCGGCGGCAATCAGCCAACACCATGCCGAATAGCAGCTTTGCAAGGCATTCGTGTGCAGCGGGTATGTGCGTGATGCTCCGTGTCAAACACTTCATCAACAACTGAAAATATGCCAATGCTTATTCTACATTTATCTCTTTGTTTAACGTGCCATTTATCTGAATAAAGATATGTATCTTAAAGGGGACCTGTGTCAGTAGGGGAGAAACTGTGACCCTGTGGGGTTCAGCGGGAATTTGCCTGTCGACTTCAGTGAGGTCAGGATTGTACTTAAACAGGACTAGGGCATTAGAAATGTTTGGTCTTTTTTTTTTCCTGCGAAACTTAATTAAAAAAAAAAAATCCTGTTATTTTAGTAAATAAGAAAGTCTTCTTAGGCTACCCCATTCTTCAATAACCCCTGTCTTCTTTTCTGGGAAAATGCTGCAGTTTAGCATTTTGTCTTTCTGGCAGACTGAATATCACTTTTAGAATTGCAGTCCAGCCACAGTGACTAACTGGTGTTTGGAGTCTGAACAAATTGTCTCCAACTGCTTTTGGCCAACAGGTAGTATGATTCCATGGTCCGTCTTGATCTGGGGTGGTTATTACACTTTACCAAATAACTGGCAAACTGTGTAACTAGCAAACTGATACCTTCTTTTGACTGATAAATATTTAAAGTAACTGCAGAAATGATACTGGAAGTTTTCTAATTGATTTATCCAAAATAGAGGATACTGTCAGGAAAATGACATATTCTGCTAGAAAACATTGGGTTTGTAACCTAGTGAAAATTCACAAGAGTGTTTTGAACTTTGGATCCTATTTGTTACATTTACTCTGGGAAGTTATGGAATTTTTAAACCTTTTCAAATAAACTCATTTAATTACATAGTTTTACATTCAGTTCCTAGGATGTAGACAGTAGCTTTGCTGGTAACAATTGCTGTTGGAGAGTAACGTAATAAAGTGAATATTATTTTCCCCTGTATTTATGCTCCTGTTTAGAGAGTATGAGTGCTCCAGTAAGTTTGACGTGGATCCTATTTCCATCCACTTCATTTACTTGATATCGTTTAATACCAAGTTGTAGACCTCCAATCAGTAAATAACTTAAGGATTTATTTCATTTAAAGCACATCACATGCTTCACGGGTGCCAGTGCACTAGATGTACTTATGGTGTATCTGCTTTGCAGATTTTATAAAGATAGGTGAGCTAGTTTTGAGCAACGTAAATTGGTTATTGATAGCCATCTAGCTATAATAGGTTACATTAACTCGTGCAGAGCAAGACTGCTGCTGGTAATTTTGCCACTGCATATCTGTATGTGGGGCATGTGCTGCATGTATATATTGTAAAGTGGATATTTGAGCAAGCTTATGCAGGGTACCTGAGGAGGCAGCTCAGCAGGACCGAGTGGGTTTCCACCAGAGGGTATGAGCTGACACAGTTGTGTGCTGCCATCAGGTTGGAGAGTTTAATCTTTCCTGGCTGGCTGCTCCTGTTGCTGACCTTGTGTGGGCACTGGTGGTCCTCAGGCCCAGCTGTGGAGGGTTTCCTTCCAGTGGTGTAAGTTATCTCAGCAGAGGGTCTGGTGAGCACTAGAACTGGCGCAGGGAGGAGGCAGTTTTGTGTGGCTGGCGGTCGGGGAGGAGAGGAGCAGATAGGGAGACCTCACCGGTTTTTACAGCGGTAAGCTGTTCACGTTGGAGCAGTTGCCCATAGAACAAGGTCAGTGCAAGACAATCTGCCACCTTCTGCATTTTTCTCTGCATACTGTTCATATTTGCCATATAGTTTTCCTTCTTTCTCAATTTCTACCTATTCTTTTGTTGGACTCTTGAGATTATCTGGCAGGGTTCCTCACTGATACTTCTTTTCCTCAAAGTCACCTCATCTACTTTGCTTCCCATTTTAATAAACTTATCTGTAATTTTTGTAATTTTTACACTGGTATGGAATCAATAACATTAATGTATAGCATAACATGTATCTGTCTGTATTAACTTACTGTTACATAAAAATGAGATTTTTCTTTTTATTATTCCTTGTAGGTTGCCTGTGGCTACGCACATACATTAGTGCTAACAGATGAAGGTCAGATTTATGCCTGGGGAGCCAATTCATATGGCCAGTTGGGTACTGGGAATAAAAGTAACCAGTCTTACCCTACAACAGTTATTGTGGATAAGGACAGGTAATACTTACAGTCTAGCAGTCAGACGTTAGTTGGCATAGTCTCAGAAGAGCTACAGAAAACAATGGCATTTTCAATCTATTTTTGGGAAGAAATAGCCTATAATTTTTTTGCAATGGTGGTTCTGCTAAATGCAAACAGAATTTTCACTGGAAGTGCTTGAATCTGCCCCATAACCATTCTTGTGAAAGAGAAAAGGAATGTTCCGAGTAGCCCAAACGTGCTGTTGTTTGCTTTGGCTCACACTGTACTTTATAGGCCTTAATTGCAGTTTCTCTTCAGTGGTGTAGTTTCATTGTTTGAAGTCAGTGATAAAAGGTTTATTGTCTCTGAATATAAATTTTATTTTAATATGCTACTTTTGGCAAGAAGTACACACAGAAAAAGTGAAGAGTGGACATCTGCAACTTGTGTTATTTCTGCTATTAAACCCAGTTCATAACCCAGAAGAGAGAGAAAGGAAGGAGTTCTTTCTTGGTATTGTTGCCGGAAAATTAAGCTTATATTTTTACAAGTTAAATATTTTCCTGTAAGTACTTGATGAGTAGTGGGGCAGTTATTTCTGCTGCTAATGTAAAGCCATATATATATGTGGCCAGAAATTTGAATCTGTTCCTTACTACTGAGGTCTTGATTTTGGCCTCCTATAATGAAAAATAAGAAAAGTGAGATGTCCCTTTTAAACTTGTGTCTGTGTATGTTACTGTAAGGAAGAGGCAACTTCACTCTGGTGATAAGACATGGCCTGTTTTTGAATGTTGCTATTTCTTCATGTGTGTTTGTGCTTTTGCTTAAAATGTTACTGATTTTTTTCCAGACACTTTGGCTGCAGTTAAAACGTTACCACATTTTAATATAAATTTTAATGTTGTATGCTGCCTTTCCCTTTTGTTGGCCAGAATATGTATTCCTGGTGTCAGTGAGAATATTACCTCACTAAAGCCTGCAAGATTTGTACATACAGCATTAAACAAGTTGTTTCCCAGCTATTTTCCCCCGGCAGCTGTTAAAACAAGTAAACAAGCAGTAGTTCAGGCTGCAAAACAGTGGATTGTGTAATGTTGTACACAGCGGGAGTTTTGAAATCCTCAATCAACTTTAGGATTAGTGAGATAGCCTAATATACCTAAAATACACTTAGAAACAGTTTTTAGTGCTGTTTCTAATTTTTATTTTCAAAATGAAAGTCTGTTAAGTGGAAGTGATAATAATTGTATGAGTAATGACATTTCAGGATTTTAATTAAAAGAAGTATGTTTAAATTGTTGGTTTATAACTGTTACCAATAAGCAAGCAGGAAAAAGATTTTTTGTGTTGTTTTTTTTCATTTTTTTTGAAACGCCTCCTTATTTTTTTTCTTCAACCTCTCCAAGTGCCCCTTCTCTACAGCTTAATGCAGCCACTCACCTCACTGCCCAGCACCACTGAGGACATTCAGAGATTGAAACTCATCATAGCTTTGTTTGAGGGAGCCGAGGGGGTCGGTAGAGCATGTGCTGCAGCAGATATACTGCTCTGCTGCAACAGTGCCTCCTCACTCCCAAGATGCTTTTTCACTGAGAAACTTTCTGAGTGCATGCTATTTGAAGAAACATTGACAGCCCTTTTAATTTTGCTGCGTATGATAGGAAAACATTCTTGCAATTGGAAGTGCATGCATGCTTACAAATACGTTTTGCACCAGAGAAAGACAGGAGGTAGCGAGCTGCTTCACTGCATTTTGTTCTTATTGAGAGTGACTTGCTTTTTTTCTTGTTTGCTTGTAAATTCAGAGTTATAGAGATTGCAGCCTGCCACTCTGCTCACACGTCGGCTGCCAAGACCCAGAGTGGCCAGGTGTATATGTGGGGCCAATGCCGTGGGCAGTCAGTGATCCTTCCCCACCTCACTCACTTTGCCTGCACTGATGATGTGTTTGCTTGCTTTGCTACCCCTGCTGTTACGTGGCGTCTTCTATCAGTAGGTGAGCTTAAATTTTTTTTTTTTTACATCTTCTAAATAGAATCATTAGTGCATAAAACAGTTGCATGTATTTGAAGCCTAAACTTAGTTTCTTGCAAATATCTATACTGGGAAGCATAAGCATAATCATAATCATATATTATATCTGTGTAAATGGTGATATGGAATTGTAAAAAAATTGCTAAGGCCTGATGGCAATGCTAAATGAGTGTCTGTTTTATTGACATGGTTTATTTCTGTGGGGAAATGCCTTGGGTTTGGGGAGGGGTTGTTTTGTGTAACCACTGAATGTTATTGTACAGTGGCCACGGGTGGAGAAGCTGAGTTTGAATTTGGAGACTTGAGGGAGCCACGCAGAGCATTTAGGAACCCTGAAGCTTTCTCTGATGTCCTTAACTAGACTACTAAGAATGAGGAAGACAAATTCCCATGCTCAGAATTGGCCACAGGCACTTAGAGTCTCATCACAAGTGATCATGACCTAAGCTTCTGAAGAGACAAGTTGCTGGATCTCAGATATTTGATTAAGGTCTGTCTTGCTGACCTGACTAGAAAGAGTTAAGCATATAGTGTTGTTTAACAGAGAGTTAATTTTTCAGCTACAGATTCAATCCCATATTGGTTGCTAATAAAGTTACTGGGTTTGCGGACCTAATCAAAGATGAGACTCTTGGGGTTCTCTGTAGGTGTCATCTAGGAGCCTAAGCTAAAAGCTAGAATGCAGCAACTTGTTAATTTGTAATTCTAACAGTATTGAGTCCACCATGTGTCGTGGTTTAGCCCCAGCCAGCAACTAAGCAC